AGACGTGCTATTTAAAAAAAAAAAAAAAAAAAAAAGATGGCAAAATTTTCATTTTGGGTGAACTATGACCCAAGATAATATTATTTTAAAAATGATAAATAATATTTGTGTTCCACAGAAGAAAGTAATGAGTTTATTGCCAAGCATGTTTAGACACACACACACAGAGAGAGAGAGAGAGAGAAGATGACATAAAGAGTAAGCATAGAAGGAGTACATTTAAATATTTATTAGGAGAAAGACTTTTATTTTACCTATTAGCTGGTTTGCCAACCGTCAAAAACGCTTAAGAATAAGAAGACTTTTATTGTGGCAGGCAGCTTGTTGTCAGCCATTGCTCCAACCGGAAGCTGAGCAGTTCAACTTCAGAGGGTATCAAGAGGTTGCTGAGGAGTGTGGGACGTTGGCGGACTGTGTTAATGTCTGCCTACTCATTGGTAAGGTGTGTGTCCCCTGTGTCCGCTTCGGTCGCCCGTTTAGGAATGCACTCTATGGCACTGACGCTTGTGTAAATCACGAGGAAGGCGCGTTAGGAACGAATTCGCTATTTTCGGCGCTTGCGCTGTGATTTTCATCCGTCGGTTGACAAACATCGGAGCCTGCGCCGTATTTGTCGATGCATTGATAGCTAGCCAGCTAGTTAGCAGGAGAACTAGCCCATTCGGTGGCTAGCCAGCCAGCACGCATTCTGAGCTTTCATTACCGAGCGCTCAATAAGTTCAGGTTCTTCAACCGGACCGCCTACTGTGCGCATACTGGTGTATTTATTAGCTAATTAACGTTACTCGATCAGCAAACAGAGGGACTCGAGGGGGGCAGGGAGAGAACGACGGAGGCGCGGTGAGCCAGGAGCGGCCGATGAGTTCAGACCAGGGCGGAGAGCCGCAGCTGCAGGAGGAGGCTGAGCCGGGACCCAAACCCCGTGGGGAGGACGAGATCACACCCGGGACCGGGGGAGACTCAGGCGTCATGGTGAGTCGGGGCCTCTTCACCCCTCCCCAACAGGACAATCGGTCTCTGGCCGTTGCCCTTCTTAAAAATAGGGCCATAGGAAGTATGATCGCTCGCTATATAAGGCCATCGGTCGGTTTACACAGCTTGCAAGCTCTGACATCACCTAAATTGCAAGATGGCCATGTTGTCGAAGACGCTTCTTGTTGGCAATTGACAGGATGATTCATTAATCTCTTAGTTGGCCCGCTTACAAAAGCCATTTCTAATCTGCGGCTGAATTTTGCAGCATGTTTGTGGTTTTAAGATTGCTTTCTCTCTCACACACAGTCGTTAGTTAACCCCCAAAATGTCACTTCCTCACGCTCATGTCGTTCAAAACACTTATGAACAGAAACGACAGAATGACAGCGGAAGTCCCTATTGACTTCCACTGGAAAACGATGCAGATGCAAAATGAATGGCGAGACTGAGGCTGTCAGTCTCTCACATCCTACCTGATATCTCCTTTTGAGTTATAAAAGCACTTGTTTTCTGAGATGGACATATAAAAATGTTAGTTTTTTTCACACACATTTACAGAGTTTATATAGAGCTGTGTATGTGCAAAATAATGCAAGTCAAATTTATATTTAAAATGTTTATTTATTGTTAAACCTGTATCTGCCATGATACGAATCTCCTGTGAAGCTATTATGGTAATAAACGCAAATACAACCAACCTTTTGTTTTGTACTGAATAAAGGAAGTTTGACACGACATGACAAAATTAACATTTTTGGGTGGACTGGCCCTTTAAGCATGACAAGTGTTAACCGGCTAAATTAGCCCATATGCTAGCGAAGATACACATATGAGCATTTTGCTGGTTAGTTATAGATTAATTAATACTTTGGCCTAGAGATACTGATTTTAGTCGACAAATTAAACAGCAGAACCCGCTGTAATTCGCCAGCGTTCATTCAGTGGCCTGCTCTCATAAGCTTATTCACGCAGTCACATGACACACATGAGCTCTAGTGAGGTTAAAACCGAATAGAACAGATGAACTCCAAATAATGTGTATTACACCGACTTTGGAAGTTTACATAGTTTTCTGAGTAATAATAAACAAACATTTGTTTCCGCTTGTCTAGCTGTAAGCCGATGTTCTTCTCTGTTAATATACTAAACATTTCCTGCACTTTAGCTTGGGAGGACCCGTAGCAGCAGTTTTTCGGAGAGTGACAATATGTCTGCTTTTGGCTTAAATCTTCAGGCTGTCATCTTCTAGAAACACTTTATCCTAGTATCCTAGAGGGTTTTTAGTGTTGTTTGTGTTACTGGCTGGATCTGGTGCTGAAACACTCTTTGTCGCTCACATATGCTGTTCCAGACCCGAAACTACATGCTTTGTACTATTTTTTTGGTTGGTGGAGAAGAAACATGTTAACTGGCCAGTTTTTTTTAAATGTTGCTCAAAATTAATTATTTATCTGACTGTTGTATAAAAGCAAAATCACACTCACCATAATGCTGTTGTATTGGATCAGCTCTAGTCCTGTGAAAGCTGTCTGTTGTTAGGATGAAATGGAGCTGTCAGACAAGTTCGAACTGAAAGAGTCAATCTTTCCCTGTCTGGCTGCAGGAACTACTGGCAAAAAAGATTGAACCTCTGCTATAGAGACTGCTGCTATCTTGAATGAGAGGCCTTGTGACCAATAATAAAATGGTAGTTTTGGCTCTTCATGTGTTGTAAACATGAGCCCATGCGATTCTGCTCACCTCGTGCTGCCTTTGTGTGTTAGTATTGACTGAAGGTGTTGACTGAGAATTTATTTTGTTCATTCTCCCACCAATACATACCATTTTAACATATTTTTCTTTAATTTCTTATAAGTTAAGCACTCTTGATTAGTTGCAAAGAGAAATCCCAGCACAGTATTCATATCTGTGACAAATGCCCCATTTTCTGTATTATGGTATGATAATGTTTTCAAATTAGACTATTATCATTAACTGAAGTACCATCTTTCATGTCTGGTTAAGCACTTGGCTTTCTCCGTGGGCATTTTGGGTTGCTTTTGAGGGGAGGTGAAGTGGGCTCATCTGTCATTGTTCTCAGTGTCACTCAAGACATGTAAACAAACCTTGGTGTCATGGGAACGACACTGGAAGTGTTTTGCATGTCATGCCTGTAAAGAGAGACCAAAAACAATGAGAATAAGCAATGTCAAGATAACCATGCTTATATTATAAAATGTCATTTGAAGACTTAAGGTTTAATGAATTCATTGCATTTCCTTCTATTGTTCCAGGTCACTGCTAAAGGAGCTGGTCTGAACCCTAATGCCAAGGTGTGGCAGGAGATCCCTGCAACACAAAGTGAAGCTCCTGTGGATGGCACTGTGGCCTCCCCCTGGTCCCAGAACAATACAGCTGAAGGTAAAGGAAATTTCCATGTGTTCTAAATCTCAGTTCCATGCAACTGATTTGTTAGTGTTTTTCCAGAATGCATATACCCTACTGTTCAAACATTTGGGTGGATAAGATTTTTTGTAAACATTTTAAAGTACCTTGTGCTCACCAAAGCTATGTTTATGTAATGAAAAATACAGTAAAACAGTTATATTGTGAAATATTACAATTTAAAACAAATGTTTTCTATTTTATAATGTAATTTATTCATGTGATGCATCCTTGCTGAGTAAAAGTATTAATTTATTTTTAAAAGCCTGACTGAACCCAAACTTTAAACAGTAGTTGCGAAGCATTTGTTTTGATGGTCTGTGTACATGTGCAGACAAATGGCTGTTGCATTATGTCTCACTTTTTCCCCAATGTTGTGCCATACATATAGCCAATTTAGACACTGTCAAGTTAAAGGTAACTTTAAAAAAAAATGCATCTAGCTGATTTTGAACACATGTACAATCAGTATCCAATGGAAAAGCCTCCTAAGAAATGCATTGGATTATATTTACACTGCTCGTCCTAAGGGATAGTTCACCCAAAAATGAAAATTCTATAATTTAGTTACTCACGGTCATGTCGTTCCAAACACGCAAGGCTCAAGGTTCCAAGGCACGCAAGGCGAAGACGCAAGGTTCATCTTCGGAAGACAAATTAACATATTTTTTATGAAATGCGAGAGCTTTCTGACCCTCCATATATAGCTAGGGTTGGGTACCGAAACCCGGTACCAATATGGCACCGGTACCTATGTAACCGATATGTACTAGAACCGAATTAGAACGCAGATTTCGGTGCCATGCCTGAGCGATTAGCAATAGATTATAAATTAGGGTGACCATACGTCTTCTTTTCCCTGGACATATCCTCTTTTTGGACCTACAAAAATGCGTCTGGCCAGGATTTCTTAATTGCCCAAAATGTCAGGGATTCGGCTGTTTTCTTAATCCCACTCCCGCTGAATCTCTGACCATTGCCACCTGCTCACGCAACATGAGATATTTGTCAATGAGCTCAGGATCTGTTGAGCAGCAAATACTCCAGCATGGTCTTGTCAGTCATCTCTCAAGCTGACTCCGGTAGCTCTTGTTGGATGCAGGGGTGCCATGTCCGCGTTTTTTTCCACAGAATTGGGCTACTTTTAAACTGTTGCCATGTGTTGATTTTCTCAAGTGGGTTAAAGGTTTGAAATATTGCATAAATTACATTTGACTGAAATGCTTGTATTGAAACAGTTTGCATTCTACCTATGATAAAACTTTCATGGACTTCTACATTAACTGTTCCCTCCTGGTGGAATGACCTGCCCAGCTCAATCCAAGCAGCTGAGTCCTTAATATTTTCAAGAAACGGCTGAAAACACATCTCTTTTATCTTCATTTGACCCTCTAACTCTAGCACTCTCTATTCTAATGCTACTTCTAATTTCATCTGCTTGTTTTTTTAATTAAGAAACTTGACCCTCTAACATTTGCACTCTCTATTCTATTTCTATTCTAACTACTTGTTTTATTTATAAAGAAAAAAGAGCCTCTAACACTAGCATTCCCTATTCTTTCTCTATTCTTTCCACTTATTTTCTTTTTATTTATTATAAAAACAAAATAAGCAAACAAAAAAAAACCTTGCTACTTATACTGTTAGGTGAAGCCTAACACGAACCCCGCCCCCTACTGTCCTTTTTTTGGAAAACTAAAATATGGTCACCCTATTATAAATATACTTAATTATTATGAAAATGCCAGAGATGGCTTAAATAACACAGATAAACTATATTGTCGCAGTCGAGTGTTTATTGTCTTTGTTTTATCATTCAAAACGTTTATATGTTCTGTTTACTCAGTTACAGCTATAATAGCTATGTCTTTGTCCATATAAGGGATTTCCTGGATGGTCATGACTCATGAGTTCTCTACTTCTGTGACTGGATATGTGGATTTTCTGTGTGAGGGCGCCCTCTGGCGTCCAGTATGAATAAATCAGACATCATGTGTTTATAGTGCTAATGGCCAATCCATCATTTTTGGGGGGAATTTTTATTTATTTGTTTTTTAACAAGTATCGGTGCAGGCACCGTTTAGGCAACGGAATCGTTTTAAAAGTATCGATTTGGCACCGGTATCGGGGAAAAAAAAACGATACCCAACCCTTTATATATAGAGGGTCCGACCACGTTTAAAGCCCAGAAATGTACCAAGAACATTGACAAAATAGTCCACGTGATATCAGTGGTTCAACCGTAAATTTATGAAGCTACGAGAATACTTTTTGTGTGCAAAAAAAAAACTAAAATAATGATTTTATCCAACAATTCCTCGCCCCCGAGTCACCCTCTGCCTCCATTATGGAGAGTACCACAGCACACACAAAATACATAATAAAATCTCATTTAATGTATTTATGATTTTAATTGTTTATCTGTCATTTGTTTCTTTGTTCACATAGATAACTCTGTAGGTAAACAGTACACACCTGGCTTCTCCACTCCTGTGGACAACAGCACCGCTAGTACTGTAGTAGGTGTGGTGAACGATATGGACCCCCCTGACCAAAGGTTCCCGGTTTCTGAGCACACTACAGCAACTAATGGTATGTAATGTTCATAATTTTGAAATATGATATGGTTCATGTGTACATGTTAATTCGATAAATCTCCTAAATCCATCACTGCTAACTAGGGCTGCACGATAAATCGCATGCGATATTTAATGCGCATCTTGTCAGAAAGCCGGTTCTGTAATCAGCGTAAATCTCCATCACCTGCGGGCTTTCACATTGAGCAGCATTAACTACACAGAGCCGTTGTTCACTGACGAGCTGCGCAAAACCACGTTCATATTCGCGCGATTTTTTTGCGCAGCTCGTCAGTAAACAACGGCTCTGTGTAGTTAATGCTGCTCAATGTGAAAGCCCGCAGGTGATGGAGATTTACCGCTGA